AAAAAAAAAAAAAAAAAAAAAAAAAAAAAAAAGCTAAATACACCAGAGCCTGGAACATGGGGGCTGCGCTCGGTGAGCTTCAGGGCCAGGCTGTGGCCAGGGCTGTCGGGCAGAACCGAAACCACTGAGCCTTTCCTGGCAAGACCCTGCAAATAGGGGCTCGGGGTCAGAGGAGCCCTGGCCAGGCCGCCAGGAGGGAATTTCCTGCTGCAGCCTTCTCTGTGCAGACTCCTGGAGACCTAAGGATCAGAGCTATGAAGGGTGCGTGGTCCCCAGCCCCTGAGGAATTAGAACCATCCCAAGCCATGCTCCACGATGTCCCAGTGACCGTGTGTCCTTAGAACCCCCGGTCGGCTGATAAAAACCCGAGTGCTCTGACGCCTCGAGGCAGGCTGAGGCCTGTCCTACCTCTGTGGAGAACAGGGCTCAGCGAGGTGGCGTTGGCTGGCCGGGACGCTCAGCTAACTGGGGCTCATCGATCAGACTAGGAGCCGCCCCAGCACCGTGGCTGGAGCCATACCACACAGCACAGCCTGCGGGGCTCAGCAGGCCCCACCAGGAGAGGAGGACTTGTTTCCCTTTGGGAATCCACTCAGAAGCCCCGGGGACCTACGCGCTGTGACAGCCAGAAATGTGGAAGGCGACGGTCGGTCAGGGTGTGGGGGAGTGGAGTGCGGAGAGCCAGATGGACGGGAGGGAGAGAGGGGTACAAACTGGAGCCTAGGGATCAGATGCAGGCTAGTGGCGTGGAAGGGTGGGCCAGGCGGGCCCTGGAGCAGTCCCAAGGCGGACACAGGACTGAGTGCTGCACTGCACACACAAGGGAGTCAGGGATGGCAGCTGCCTGGGCCTCCTGGGCCTGTGCAAAGCAGTCTTAGGCCTCCGTGGCTCTGCTGACCAAAAATCTGCACTCTCACCACAGCCAGCCCCAGAGCAGGACCTGGGAGCCCTCCAAACCTGCACCTGTTGGGTCCTGCCCTGCAGATCTGTGGTGACTGCTCTGGTGTGTGGCTTGGCCCCGGGATTTTCAAAGCTGGGTGGGGGTTGCTGCTGTGTAAGATGAGGGCAGGGTCCTTCTCAGCCAGGGAGGACTGGAAGGAGCTGAGGCCAAGGCCGGGCCGCGGGGACATGCGGCACCTTCCCAGAGCCCTCACCCTGTGTGGAACCCTCATGCTCACGGCAGCCCTGTGGGGCTGGGATTGCTCCTAACCTCGTTCCCCAGGGCCAGAAACCAAGGCACAGACAGTCAGTCTGCACAAGGCCACATGGGCTACAAGTGGTAGAACAGAGACTCGAACTCAGTACTCTGGAGCCCGTTTTCAACCACCAGGCAGACCTGGATGTTTAGGAGTCCCAGAGGCTCAGAGCTTCAGGGCTGCCAGCCTCTTCTCCCCACGCTGGACTTGCATCTGGCAGCCCTGGGGTTGGGTTTCTCCTCACACAGACCAGCCTTCAGAAGATGCCACCACAGTGGCACGGCCGCCCCCTCCTGCTGTCTGGGTGAGAGCTGATTTCAGGACAGGTGTGCAGCTCAGTGGTACAGCGCCCACCTGCCATGCATGAGCTCTGGAAGAGGAAAGCTGGCTTCAGCCCAGCAACAGAGCTGAGGCCCAGCGCTGCAGGCCTCACAGGCCACCGGTTCTGGACCCCATGGTTCAACAGCTCAGGAGCAACAGCCAGCGAGCCAGGCGGAGGGTTTCCCCGAGCCAGAAGGTGGAGTTTGCTGCACATTTACGTCTGTCCAGAAGGTAACCAACTGGCCAAAGCAGTGCTGACTCCTGGGGACACATGGGGTCAAAATCACTGTTGTGTTTCATCTGGGACGGTCCTGAAGTCCTGAGGTCTTCAGACATCCTGATATGTCTGTGGTCAGCGCCCAGTAACCCTGCCATGTAACTCTCCAGTGGTTCAGCAGGTAAATGGTGGTCCGTGTGTGTGTGTGTGTGTGTGGTGGGGGCAGCAGGCTGCCTGTTCATCTTGGATGAAGGGTGAGCAGGGGGCTTCAGATTCCTGCAACTTTTCTGAGTTGGAAACCACTTCAAAAATTAAGGGCTAGACATGGTGGGGTGTGGTGGTGCACACCCATAATCCCAGCACTCAGGAGGCTGAGGCGGGAGGATCTCAAACTTGAGGCTGGCCTGGATTACCTGCTAGAGAGAGAGACCTGCTGCCTAAAAAAAAAAGAAAGGAAGGAAGACAGAGAGGGGAAAGGAAGAGGAAGACAAGTGAAAGGGTGAGAAGAGGCAGAGCTGAGTGGCAGAACACAGTGCAGACGTGGACCCCCTGAGCCCCTCTCCCACACCACCTCTGCTCCCACTGTCTGAGTAGGGCTCTGTGCTGGGCAGCACGGCCTCCTGGAGAGCTGTCCCAAGGGGAACGGCTGGTCCCCAAGGTGTCCCGGGATGCGAAGAACACCTCTCACACCAGGGCGAGGAGACGTGAGAGTGTAGGGACCAGGACCAGAAGCATCCCTGGGTCCAGGTGACCCCAGGCAAGGCAGACGTGGCATCGGGGTCCAGGTGTCCCCCACACGGACGCCAGCATCTCCAGATGCTGCCAGAAGCCCCATCCCCCACCCCGTGAGGCGTAACTCCATGGCTGTGAGGACAGGGACAGCAGGCCCAGAGGAGCTGAGGGCTGAAGCGGGCCAGCCCATCCTGAGTCCCGACTTGACGGTGTGGGGCTCCGTGTCGTCACCTCTACAACAGGCACAGGCCAACATCACCACCGTCGCCAGCCCTGGAAGGGCACTGTGCTAGACTGGGGCACCCTTGGCAGACTGGGTTCCCGCGCCGCCTGTGGATCACAGGCAGGGTTGGGAGCCCATTCACTCCTGTGGGAACGTGGGTTGTGTCCACCCTGGAGAGGCGCCTGGGTGACAGGAGGCCATGGGAACGGAAGCCAAAGCCAAGCCTTCATCTGAACTGGAAGACACAGGCATCGGCCCTGCATCTCCACCTCAGACTCCCTGGCCCGAGCTGCTGTCTTCAGTGATCCGTCCTGGTCTGGTTCCACACAGAAAACAACCCTTTGAGCCCTGACAACATTGAAAAGGTGGTCAGCAGCACCCCACTCTGCAAGCAGGGTGGGGCCGTGGGGTATGGGTCCCCCGGGACTGGAGAGGAGGCTGTGGCTTGACCCACGCATGGTGCCCTGGATTTGCCACCTTTGTAACCAGAAAACAGAGTGGGAGGGCCCCCGGGGCCATCAGCGCTGCTGGCAGAGTCTGCAGAATGTGAAAACCTTCCTCCCACACAGACTTGGCTTGGTTTAAGCCCCCAGAACGTGAACTGCTAATTACTGTATAGCAGTTTGAAGCTGAACAAGTTCTTTCTTGCACCTGGGCATGAGTCTCCCTATTGCCAAATGGTCAACAGGATCCCCTCTGGTGACATGGACAGGGAATTATAAGAATTGACTGCCTGACCAGGGAGGTAGCACAGGCCTGTGATCTCAGCACTTTGGAGGCTGAGGCAGGAGGAGCTCAAATTTGAGTCTGGGTAACTCAGCAAGACTTTGTTTCAAAAATATAAAAAAATAAACCAATGGCTAGGGTTCAGTCCCCAGTGCTGCGAGCACTCACACACAAACTGACTTCCTCCTGCAGACATCTATGTCCTTCTGCTCTGCACACCGTGCGGCGTCTCAACACCATGAGTGCATCCCAGGGGCAATGAGTGTTTGTGTGGGCCTTGAAGACAGGGCCTGCGAATCACCAGCCCTCAGCCCACAGCAATCAGAAGAGTAAAACACACAGTGGAAAGTCACTAAGCCACGGCACAGGGGTCGGGTGTGGCCCCACACTGGTGGAGGCTGTGCGACAGCATTTGCCACCTCCCAGGTTTACTCCTTGGGGAGGTGGCAGAGGCGGGGCTCTTCCTGGGGTATCACACAAACCCAGAGCCAGAGATGGAGGGAGTGGTGCTGCCAAGGGGTACAGGAGGCCCAGTTACCTCAGGGGACCCGCGTGCTGCACCACTCACTGCCAACGCGCAGGTGGACTAGGCCAGCATCCTTGCTTCGATTTGCTGGGTCTGGACACCCTGGTGAGGTCACACGAGCTCACAGGGGCTGCCCCATGGGCTGGACGCCCAGGAGGGAAGGCGGTGAGTGGCCGGCACCCTGTAAGCCTGGCTTCACCTCCCAGGTGAAATCAGTTCAACCCCGAGGTCCTGGATCACCATGGCACCGTGCCTGCCTCCTCACAAAGACCTCCTTTAAGGGCTGGGCCGGGCAGCAGTGGGCAGTGCTGAGGAATGTGTCGGTTTGCCCAGGTGGGAGGAGGCGGAGGGAGAAGGTGGATCCTGGCTGGCAGGGTGTCCTGCTGCAGAGCAGAGTTTATTGCTGCCCGGTGGGGCTCCCCAGCTGGCTCCTTTCTGGGACAGTCACTTCAGCTTGCCACAGAGCTCTGCAGTCCAGGCACAGGGACAGAGGTGATGCCAGGGCCAGGCCCATGGCTGAGCAGGTTCACAGCGTCAGCCCCAGCCCTGCAGGAGCCTCACTCCAGGACAAGAGGGCAATGCATCCCCCAAACCCACCCCGGTGGGCTTGGCCTCCCCAAGCTGCCTGGGGCCACTGTGGGGCAGACTCCGTTGCACCCTCAGCACAGCACACCTCACCACTGAGGCCCATGGTGCAGGAGAAAAGCAGCCTGGACAGCAGCAGTCAAGACAGGACACCCGTAGAGGACTTGCCATTTGAGTCGGGTTTGTGGTGCCCACAGGGAGACCACAGCTGGGAGGGACAGGGGGCTGGGTGTCAGGGGTGGGAGGTGTTTCTTGGTCCAGGGCACGCAGATACCGTGTGCACAATACCCTTGCAGGATGATGACACCCTGTGTGTGTCCCCGTGCTAGTGTGCCCGTGCATGGTGCTGGGATGGAACCCCAGGCCTTCCCGTGTCCTCAGGTCTGTCTGACCGTGGGCTCAGCCTGGGGGAGAGGCCACGCGGGTTCGGGAATCAGGACTGGCCTGACACTTCTGAGCCACAGCGTCGTGCTCAGTTGCTTTACCTGTACAAGCCTGTTTCCACCTTGCAAATGGGCACAAGAACAGTGGGAGGGCTGGCACAGGACTGGCGCTTCCCTGGCCCAAGTCCCACTCACCACCTCAGCGTAACCCACACCTTAGCCCTGGGGTGTCTGCCCTGCTGGGTGCCCCCACCCCCCGCAGGAGATTAGCACTTTCTGCGGCCTCCTTGGGGGCCGGTGGAGGGACTCAGTCCCCGGAATACCAGCCTCTTCCATCAAGTGGACCGGCACCCAGGGGTGGGGATGCGCAAGAGGGAGGTGTGGTCAGGTCAGGTCAGCGTGCTCTCTGTGGTCAGCGCAGCCCAGGACAGGGCGCCCCCGCAGTCCCTGGGGTGCCACGCAAGAGACACAGCCTAACACCAGGGCGAACCTCCCTGAGCCTCGGTCCCCGTCTGTAAAGAGGGGCCCCGTCCTGGAAGGGCCACCGGCACCCAGGGGTGGGGATGCGCAAGAGGGAGGTGTGGTCAGGTCAGGTCAGCGTGCTCTCTGTGGTCAGCGCAGCCCAGGACAGGGCGCCCCCGCAGTCCCTGGGGTGCCACGCAAGAGACACAGCCTAACACCAGGGCGAACCTCCCTGAGCCTCGGTCCCCGTCTGTAAAGAGGGGCCCCGTCCTGGAAGGGCCCCGTG